CTAAAAAGCTGCCTTTTTTCCAGGTTCCGGAGGGTGTATCACTTGTATACTATGCCATTTTTCATAGGGAAGTCAGAAAGAGCTAATATTTTGGATTTGTCTATGGCTTGACTAGATCTTTCATTTGAGATACCTAAATCGAAAATCAAAATTTTGTCGGCGGCCGACTAGTTTGGTGCTCTCGCGGACCCTCTCTTAAAGAACTTCTATCGCGTGCGTTTGTTTTTTTGTATGACACTTTTTTTTCACTGCGTTATTAAAATAGAAAAAAAAACATAAAAAGCGTAGAAAGCGTGCAAGTGCCTCCTATATGAGTCAATGCTGTCATGATAAAGAAAACTTTGCTCGATTCTTTTAGTGGGTAAAAGTATAATAAACATAGAATGAAAAAAAGGAAGAAAAAAAGTCTCAAGGCCATCATCACCATATAAAAAGCGAGAAAATGTTGTTTTCTGGTAATGGCATCGAGCAACAGCAGAACCAGCAGTGTTAGTTGTACAGATAGTGGTATCAGTTGTAATACTACTGCTACAACAGTTAATCCACGTTATGAGTGTTACTGGACGAATAATTGTTGCGGGCGACATGAATTAAATGATTGCTTAGTACGACTGCGTGAATTACGAGGCAAATTGGGTATCTATTACAGTTCAAATGCAATGTTCAAACGTTTTACTCGTGATCAAATGAACAATCTATCCTTAGAATCGAATCCAACTGGATGTACAATGGTTCATTTGTTAATTTATAAAAAGGAAAATAATGAAACTTGGCTACTATTTGTTACTAAATTAGTTAGAGAAAAACACCAAGAAAATGAAATTGGAACAAGTCGACAGTTATTATTAACGTTTCCATCATCAAATCCATGTAAGAAGAATGAATTTCAAAAAGATGTAGCTGCAAGAGCATTAAACAGTATTACAAATGAAAGTGAAATAACAAAAAATCTTCGACCACGTCTCAAACGTTTCTTATTTGTTGATGCTAATGCCATCTACCCATTATATTTAAGCAATGAACATGCAGATCTCTTAACAACTCGTTTTTCTTCAAGTGAAGAAGTTATTTCTCTTCATTGGTATCCTCTATCTACTGTTTTGAGTCAATTGCCCGAATGGGATGATTATTTGAGTAGACCAGCCGCAGGAGGGGAATTAGCACAAGTGCGACATCCTGGTCATGCTGGAATTAAATTGAATACAGAAAATGACGAACATACAATGTGGTCAGTAATTGCAACTTGTCTGATGTGTATAAGAAATCATGTGGGACTTGATACTTTTCTCCAACCATAATTTATAACCTATCGTTAAAAGACAAAATTTTTAAATTTGCTAAATAGTTTTTAAATACAATCAAATGAAATATAGAAAATACCGTAGAGTTCAATCTTATTTGAGACATGCTGTATTTTTCCCTGAAAGTTTCAGAATTTAATAGATGAACTGTTCGAAAGAAGAAGATCATCTATATCATAAAAATTTGCATCATAATCTGCTTAAATTCTGGACACAAAGTTTTTCAAGCCAAGCAAATTTACTTTTTTTTAGTTCAACTCAAGTAAGAAACAACATATCTTATGAAAACATTAACCTCTTGGATACTGCTGTCTTCAATTGAAGACAAGCAGAACGAAAGAATTTTTTTTTCGTTCTGTCGTATTGATAAACAGCTGTGAAACGAAATGTTCATTAATGTGCCTGTATCAGTCCACATTTCATATACAATAAAATATAAATGTATACAGCTGATTTACGATAA